ATGGCAAAAGTTTTATGCATATCATCACTTTTTTAAGTTTTGCTCTCCACATCATCAAAAAAAATATTAAAAATGCCACCTAAGTAGGGTTAACGGCCCAAATTAACAGAAAGACTAACGGAGTGCATTTCGTATAGTTGAGGGATCAAAAAAATGCAAAAAATTGTTGAGGAACCAAAAATGTGCATTTCATAAAGTTGAGGGACCAAATTAAGCATTTAACCTTAATATTTATACATTTTGTTTGGTAGAAAATAGTTTTTTTTTTCTTCTTTTAAGCAGAAGCTATATACTCTTTCAATTTAACTTTAGTAAGACTAATAACTTGTAGATTAAAGTAGAAAAATTTTAATTTTTCTTAACTAAGATATTGAGTTTTAGTTTTATAAATAGAGAAATAAGTATTATGAGAGCTTATCCCTTATGGGTTTGATTTAGTTTGATTTAGTTTGATTCTAAATTAATAGGTATTTAAACATGGTTTCTGAATACCGAAAGTTAATATACATATAACTTTAGTAAGAGTAGTTTTCTTTTTGGGTCTAATTGTAAAGATAAGATGTAATAATTAGTTGATAAAATTTCATATTTATTGCTTATAAGTTATTGTTTAAAGAAGTCTTTTTATTTCCATAAAAAAAAAAAAAAAGCCTTCTTACTTGATAGTAGCATATAAAATCATTTCTCTAATAAAAATAAAATAAGAATAAGTGTATTAAATAATATCTTAAAAAGAATAAAAAGTACAATAAATAATTAAATTTAAATACCTCAAATTAGATATTAAGTTTTCTAAAATTGAATTGCGAGTATATTATAGTAAGAAAGAAAATAAGAGAAGAAAAACCATCCTCTTATTTTGGGAATTGAAAACTAGGAATACACTCTTTTTTCTAAAACAATTAAGGTAATATTTTTTTGTTGATAAAAGAAATTTTCGGTTTAAGTTTTTATACAGTACATCTTGATATTAATCCTCCCCTACAGCCAAAAAAGAAAAAGAAAAAATCCTCCCCATGGGCTATGAGTTCCATGACTTTGGTATTTTTAATTTGGTGTTAAAATTAGAATTTTTTTTTTATCTTGGTTGTATAATGGGATATAATATTTCATCTCTTATTTCATCATATTCATGTATTATATGATTTAAATTCAAAATTTTTTACTTTTAATAAAAAAATTATCACTAAATTATTTATTTTTGTTAAAATAAAAAATTTAAACCCTTATAATGATAAGTAATTAACTCTCTTTTTGCTCCATTTGCTCCATGAGCACTGTACTGGATCTGGGGAGAAGAAACATACCTAAGGGCTAAAGCTTAAACATTCAAAATTTTCCATTCACGAATGCTGGCCAGGCCTACATCCTTCTTGGGCCTACATTTAATAACCAGTACAATTAATTTATTAAGGGTTATTTTCTTTTCGGGCCACTATTGGGCCTCCTCTTTTCTGTTCTGGGCCAACTACTACTACTACTACATATGGTTTGTTTCCTTTTTCTTATTTCCAACCATTTTGTTGCCAATAAAGAATGTTTTGTAGATACGGAAACAGTTTTGTCCTTTTTCAATTATTGCGAAACTAGGAGGGACTCACCACCACTAAAATTAT